CAAGCCGACGGGATCCACCACGACCATCCGATCAACCCGTACCGTGCAGTGCAGTGCACATGGCCTCGGACGCGATGGATCTGAAAGCTGGCAACCTGCACGAGGACGCCAAACCTAGTGCGTGCTCTAACTCTTCCGAAATCTATTCGTCAGCAACGTCTGTGGCACTCAAGCCCGAGGCAATATCCACATGACCCGCAACGCCATGCGCGCGAGCATTTCCCCACACCATCTCCAACAGTGAAGAGAAAAACAAAGATGGCCATGACCACGACTGAGCGCAGAAACGTCGGTGCCGATGTTGGTCATCGTCTATCTTGGTCATAGTCAATTCGTGGGTCGTCATCGCGAATCGGCGACGGCCGGCATGGACCCATTACCAAGATCGGTGTCGACAAGGATGCCGCGACAGCTTCTCCCGAAACGGCCCCAAGCCATGTGGCCAGAGGGCGGCTGTGCCAGCGAGGCCGCGCAGCAGAACGGCAGCGCACTGCGGCGCGCAGGGGGGAAGGGCGCGTGAGCGAAGTCGCAGGCGACGGCCAGCACGGCGCAGACTTTTCCGCCGGCGGCGAGGCAGAGGTAAAACTGCACCAGCGGTCAAGCAGTCCGGGGCGGCCGCGGAGCGAACTGCCCCCAGCATGCAAGGAGGCGAGACCGAGACAGGCAGAGCGGCCGCGGAGGCGGGAGAGGAGGAGGGGGGGGCACTCGCCAGCACGGCACACACGAACCCAAGGAAGATGATGAAGACCAAAGCCCAGCTGCACGGCCAACGGGACGAGAAGGGCTCGTGCGCAGGTTGTCCTGCAATGCGGCGAGGGTGTGCAGCGCCTTCACGGGCTGGAGCATCCGCGACACTGGTGCGCGCACAATCTTCATCGGCCGGAGTTGGAGCATCGTCGCATGTTTTGCGAACGACACGGGTGACCAGAGCCACTTCAGGTCAAAACTTCTGCGCGCGATAGTTGCCTGCAATTGTCAGCATCTGCCTGGTGCCCACCGCTCAGAGGTTGCGCGAGCTCTTCCTCGAAAGTCAGCTGCGCCTTGGTGATATGGCCCGTGCCGATCCGTTGGCTGCATCAACGCAGTCGGCCGAATCCGCCCCTCCGATCTGTACCTCATCCCTGAGGCACGCGGGGGCTGCAGGTAAAACACGGAGACGGACGATGACGACAGGGAGGGGAGGAAGCGACGAGGAGCAGGATGAGGAAGTTCTGAGGAATGAAGGGGCCCTGGGACGCACAAACAAATACACACAAATAAAAAGATTCCCAATATTTTCGCATATTTTCTGGGTTTTTGTCTTCCCGCCCACTTCCCATATTTTCCCATATTTTCTGGGGAATCGACGATTCATTGTGTCTGTGTTTTTTCCCCTCCTGGAGGAGGAGCGGCAGGGGCGAAGGAGGAGCGGGGCAACCGAGGGCGGCGACGAGAAGGCGCAGGTCAGAGGCATTGGCAGAAGCAGGCAAGCGAAGAGGCGCACATGCGACCACGGAGGAAGGAAACGTGCAGTCCGGGTGAGGCTGGGCGTGCTCTCCTGTGGGCGGACTTTCCCGAATGGACGAGAACAGGCGCACGAGACTCGTCACCAGACTACTTTGGGACTCGTGCTGATTATATATATATATGAATAGAGATAGATAGATAGATAGATAGACAGACAGACAGACAGACAGACAGACAGACAGACAGACAGACAGACAGACAGACAGACAGACAGATAGATATATAGATACATAGATACATAGATATAGATAGATAGATATATAGATAGATAGATAGATAGATAGATAGATAGCTAGATATATAGATATATAGATAGATAGATAGATAGATAGATAGATAGATAGATAGATATATAGATATATATATATAGATATGTAGGTAGGTAGGTAGGTAGACAGATAGATAGATAGGTATGTATATATATATATATTGATATATACATATGAATAGATAAATATAAAGATATATAGACATACAGAAATACAGATATATATATATCTATATATATATATCGATAAATATATATAGATAGATAGATAGATAGATAGATAGATAGATAGATAGATATATAGATATATAGATAGATAGATAGATAGATATAAATATATATATAGATATAGATAGATAGATAGATAGATAGATAGATAGATAGATAGATATATAGATCGATCAATAGATATGTAGGTATATAGATAGATAGATATATAGATAGGTAGATATATGCATATATACATATATCGAAAGATAGATAGATCGATATATATAGATAGATAGATAGATAGATAGATAGATAGATAGATAGATAGATAGATATAGATAGATAGATAGATAGATAGATAGATAGATAGATAGATAGACATATATATATATACACACACATATAGATCGAGATATTCTCCCTGTAGGAGGGGCCGCCCGACCAGACTCTGCACGTCCTCCGCCCCTCGCCGGGCCCCTCGCCGGGCCCCGGAGCGGTGCCCGCGCCCCCCCCCGGGCTTGGCCGGGGCGAGCCACCGCCGTGCACACCGCCCCACGCTGACCTTCCAGAGAGCCATCTTCTAGCACGGGAGGCCTAAAAACCTAAAAAGCTGAACGAAACAGCCTAACACCGAGACATAGAATAGCTCTGGGATAGGTTGTTGAGTCGCGTGCTACTTCTTTTTGCCCTCCTGGAAGGTCTGGGCACCGCCCCCGTGGGCCCACGGCGGGCCGAGCTGGGAGCGGCGGCTGTGCACAGACCTCGTCGCCCGAGCAGGGCACAGATAGGGGGCCACTTGCGAACCCTACCCCTGCCCCCCCCGACTTCTGAGGGTTAGGTCGGGGTGGGAGGCCCGTCCACCCCCGATGCGTCGGGGTTGGAGGCCCGTCCACCCCCGAACAGAGAGTGAGCTCGGGCGCAGGGCTCGGCGGGCTAAGAGCCACCCCGACACGCGAAGCCGTTTAGCAAACGCGCCCCAAGAAGGAATCGAACAGAGCAGGGCTGTTTAGTGAACGCCCCGGGCCGTTCAGTGAGCGCCAATTGTCCGGTCCGGGTGGTTCTTGCTCCCGTGACAAGACGAAGATGCAAACGGGTAAGGCCGAATCGAGAATCTCAGAGATCCGACGGCTCTGGAAAATGGCTCGGGCGCCACGCCCCTCAGAGAGTTCCGAAACGCTCTGAGAGCGTCCCGGGACGCTCTGGAACGGATTCCTCCTCGTACAGTGGGGGCCCGACCACAAGAAACCTTCCACAAAAACCCCAACCCCGAGACCCCAGGACGTCCATCGATTCTTGCTGTGGGAGCGTCACGCTTTCCATGGCAAGTCCACCGAAACCCAAGAAACCCAGGGCACCCTGGCGACACGCAGGGTGTTTCTTCAGAAGAATAAAAACCCACATAAACATAAACTTGTGGCGTTCCGCGCGGATTTCTTGGATCCGCGCCGGACCCCCCTCCCTGGCGCGCGGAGCGCGCCAGGGGCGGCGCCGGAGGCGCCGCCATGGGGGCCAAGGCGCGGGTCCAAGAAATCCGCGCGGAGCGCCAAAAGTTTAGGTTTATGGCGCGTTTCCTGCTTCGATGGAGGCAAGCCGAGTGTCTCTTGGCCTGGGCCTCCACTGTGCTGGCCCCGCCCGACGGGAGCCCTCTGCGGGAGCCTTGCTGGGAGCTCGTGCGCGCCCGCAGCCCCGAGGGCCCCGGTGGCTCTCGCAGCGAGCAGAGGCGCGCCCAGTCCCGAAGGGGCCCAGGGACACACAAATGAACACACGCACAAATACCGCCCCCATGCCGCACCCCGCCCCCCCGGGGGGGAGCCCTGCGGCCCTCGCAGCGAGCAGGCGTGCCGAGTCACCGAAGGGGCCCAGGGACACACACACACACACACACACACACGCACACACACACACACACCAAGAACTGCACACAAATACCAAGATTTCCTATATGTGTCCTCCTCCTCCTCCCTCATCATCCTCCTCCCTCATCCTCCTCCTCCCTCTCTCCTCCTCCTCCTCTTCCTCCTTATCTCCGCCTCCTCCTCTCCTCCTCCTCCTCCTCCTCCTCCTCCTCCTCCTCTTCCTTCTCATCCCCCTCCTGGTCGTCGTCGATGTCTGTCAGGGTCGGCGGCACCGGCCGTCAGGCCTTCACAATAAATACACACATACAAATACTCCCTACATGTTCTCGTATCTTCTGGATCCTCGTCTTCCCCCCCCCACTTCCCAGCTTTGCCCCTATTTTCCTGGGGGCCGACGATTCATTGTGTCAGTGTGTTTCTCTTCCCCTCCTGAGAGTCCGACTCCAGGAAGGAATTCGGGCGTCCGCGCGTTCCTGGAATTCGAGTGCGCTGGGGAGGGCAGGCCGCGGAAGGGCCCCGTCGCTGCTCGCTTCTGGCTGCCCCGTCGCTCGGCGCGTCCGCGAGGCCGTCTCTGCCGCGTCACCGCGAGGCGGTAGCAGATGGCATCGGAGCCAGCAGGGAGGAGGGCGGAAAGGGGGAGGGGGAGGAGTGCAGGTCGGACGGGGAGGGGGGGTGGGGAGGACTCGGCAGGCGCTCCCGGGAGCCTTCCGTAGTCACCTGAGTGGCCTCCAGCGGCGCGAGCAGAACGGCCGTGGACCACTGGAGGCGCAGGAAAGCCAGGCCAACTGACAGTAAGAGGCTCCCAGGATCGTCTTCTGAAGGAGGAGGAAACGTCTCAAAGAGGAGGAGGAGGAGGAGGAGGAGGAGGAGGAGGAAGAGGAGGAGGAGGAGAGGAGGAGGAGGAGGGAGGAGGAGGAGGGGAGGAGGAGGAGGAGGAGTGAGGGGGAGGAGGAGGGGGTTTTTTGAGGGCGGAGGGGAGAGCGGAGGGGAGGAGGAGGAGGAGGGGGAGGAGGGGAGGGAGGGGGAGAAGGGGTGAGGGAGGAGAGGAGGAGGAGGAGAGAGGAGGAGGGAGGAGGAGGGGAGGAGGAGAGAGGAGGAGGAGGAGGGGAGCGATGCGGGGGAGGGAGAGGGGGCGCAGGACTGCTCGAGAGGCTTCCTGCGAGACGCGTGTTGTCGAACTGCAGGCCGATGATCTGCATGCCCCGCGGGGCCGCGAAGCGGTGTCGTCGCCTCGCCTCGGAGCCTCCGCGGCGGGAGAGTCGCGCGGGGCGAGGCACGGATAGAGAGAGAGAGAGAGAGCCATAAGCGGATGCATGACCAAATAACCACTGGGGGGCAGAGACAGAAACGAAAGGAAATAATGAGTGAGGGTGATACCTACATACATATATATGTATATATGCCTATTTGTATGTATATACATCAAATGCTCTTATATACAAACTGCATCGAGATAGTGCTATTGACATGGATGGATAAGGGCGAACGGATGGATAGAAGGTCAGACGCACACGACCACAATGCTAGATGCATGAATGGATGTATCCGCCGCCGGCCCCCCTGGCACGCTTAAGCGTGGTTATCAGCATCATCACCATCACCATCAGCATCATCGTGGCCGTCCTCGCCGTCACCATAATCATCGGCATCATCGTCATCGTCAGCATCATCATCAGCAGCATCATCATCAGCATCATCAGAACCACCATCATCGTCATCATCATCATCATCACCACGACCACCACCAACATCGTCGTCGCCATCATCAGGTTGATCGCCACCACCATCATTGCCTCCATCATCATCATCATCATCATCATCATCATCATCATCATCATCATCATCATCATCATCATCATCATCATCATCATGATCATCAACATCAGCAGCATCAGCATCAGCATCAGCATCAGCATCATCATCATCAGCATCATCATTAGCATATTCATCGCCGTCAACACCACCATCATTGTAATTATCATCCCCGCGATCAAAATCACATATCTCACCATCATTATCATCATCAACATCATCATCATCATCATCATCATCATCATCATCATCATCATCATCATCATCATCATCATCATCATCATCATCATCATCCGCAGCAACATCATCACCATCACACTCAACATCAGCAGCAGCACAACCGTCATCGAAATCATCGTACTCATCATCATCAGCATCATCAACATCATCATCGTCATCCTCATCAGCAGCTGCAGCATCGTCATCAGCATCATCATCATCACCAGCATCGTCATCAGTATCATAATCAGCGGCAGTAGCATCAGCATCAACATCATCATCATCAACAACAACAACGACGGCATCAGCATCGTCGTCGTCATTAACATCATCACCAGCATCACTGCCATCTCCATCATAACCATCACCAATGTATACAACATCATCACATTCATAACCATAGTCGTCGTCATCATGCATTCATAACCATCATTCATTAATGCTCGTCATCAACATCATCGTCGTCATCGCCGCCGTTAGCATCGTCATCATCATCCTCAGCATCATCAACACGTGGCGAGACCTTTTGCGTGATCCTTGGTGCCCCGACCGCCGCCGGAGGAGAGGAGGGAGGAAACGCTGGTGCCGAGGAAGGAGAGCAAAAAGCTGAGGGCTCAGCCTGTCCGAGCTGAAACCCTCCACTGGCCCCGAATGCCAGCTTGCGACTTGTTGCAAGTGCGTGGTCATTGCCAACGAGCTCGGAAGAGCCGCTGTGGGGCGCACGCCCAATGGAAGCGCATCGCAACGGCGCTGGTGATTAGAACTGGCACCTGGCCGCTGGAAGGAGGCCGACCAGCGCGACGCGAGCGGCGCCGCTCCAGCGGAGGGCAGCGGATCAGCTACAGAAGGGTGATAAAGCCAAAGCGGCTCCTGACAGGGAAAGACCGAGGAGGCGGGAGGAAGGGGTGGCAGAGGTAAGAGCTTCCGCCGCTGCCGCCGCCGCTGCCGCGCCGAACGACAGACTGAAAAAGCCGGTTCGCTTTCCGAAGCTGGGACCGCCCTTCTGCCCAAGCAAACAAGCGAAGCCAGAGCCCGAAGAGTCAGTGGCGGGGCTTCTCTGAGGCCCTCACGCCTTCTGAAAAGTGAGCGTGTTTTGATTCGGCGTTTCGACATTGGGCGGAAGGGGGGGGGGGGGAAGGAGGGGGTCTGGCTCTGGACCTCCGCTTAGTGCGACTGTTTGCAAGAGTGCGGCCTCTGGGGGAGACTCCACCCGCTCGAAACAGGCACCAAGAACAGCCAAGATCTGCCCCATGGAGGGGGGTGAGTGCGAGGGCCCGCACCGATCGGCAAAACAACGAAGAAGACAACGACGACAACGAGGCCCGCGTCTGCGGCGAAGGCTCAGAACACCTCCTCAGAAGGCCGGAGGCCTTCAGAGAGGGCCCGCCCCCTCCGCCCTCCCCACCGGGCTCGCCGCCGACGAGGGCGCCGGGGACAAGACCGACGCACGCCCGCGGCCCCAGCGCGGGGGGCAGCGCGGACTGCCGGGCTCGGAGGCCAGGTCGCCAGGCCCCTTGGCTCACAGGGAGCGCGGCGCTGCCCCCCTTGGTGCAGGCGGGCGCCCGCTGCGGTCCTGGAGCGGCGCGCCGTGGGCACTGCTCGGGTCGGAGAGTTATGCCCAAACGGAGCGGGGCCGCAGGTCCGAATCGCAACCAAACACAGACACAGCGCTGAGCGAATGAAGAAGACAAGGAACGTCGCGAGCAGCCCAGCACGGGGCACAGCTGTCAAGCAGCACCTGACGGGGTGGCAATGCGGTGACCGCGAGCTGGGACGACGGGGGCCCAGTGACGCGGCACCCAAGGGTGCAGGGGGACAGCGCATGACGAGCATCTCCTCCCTCCTCCTCCTCCTCTCTCCTCTCTCTCCTCATTCCTCCTCCTCCTCCTCCTACCTCCCAAATCTCCTCACACCGTAGCATTCCTCCTTTTCTCCTCCTCCTCCTCCTCCTCCTCCTCCTCGTCCTCCTCCTCCTCCTCCTCCTCGGGACGGCGATTGCACGACTCTGGGGTAGGGGAAGATGTCTGGTCATCGATGCTTGGAATCCAGAACCAGGCCAGCGTTCCGCGCCGGCGATCCGAGTCGACATCCCCATGCACGGGCCCTGGCGAGGGAAGAAAGAGGGTGGATGGGGCAGGGAATGGGGGGGAGGGGGTAGAGGGCTGGTCGAGGCAGAAGGGGGCAGGGTGTGGAGGGGGAGAAGGAGACACGGAGACGCGGGACGGGTGACTGAACTGCAGGACCACGCTCATCACGAGGAGAAGAGCATCGCCACGGAATTGTGCCTTTTTCGTCCTGCGATGTGCATATGCGCACTTACAAATATACATATATATATATATATATATATATAGAATGCAAGTATGTATGTGCATATATATATATATATACACCTATCCGCTCGGGGCCTTCAGATCCCCATTGAAGATCGGCGGAACCGGCCGTGAGGACTATCCAAGACATACATGCAGAAATACAGAAATGCATGCATGTATACATATCGTAGTCACAAGAGGGCCCCAAGAGGCGGAGTTCCAACTGAAATGTCGAGCTCTCCGCCCCAAGATGACCCCCGAGACCGCCAACAGGCCCAAAAAGGGGCCCCCAAGATGCCCAAATGAAGACCTAGGAAGCCCAAGAGGCCCCGAGAGGCCCCAAGGCGACCCAGACACAGCCTTTCACAGGCTTCCGAGAGGCCACTCAAGAGGTCCCTGCAGCATCCAAGACGCCTCAGACCTAAAATGTGCGCACGGTGGCAGGATGGCCCGAAAACCACCAAGAGAGAGGGAGAGACAGAAAGACAGGGAGACAGACAGAGAGAGGATACACGAAACAAAACGTCGTGTCAAAACAAAAACTGAAGGCAGGGGGCGCAGGAAGCGGAAGAGCGAAGTGAAGCGAAATGGGGGGAGAGAGAGAGAGAGAGAGAAGGAGAGAAAGAGAGGAAGAAATCAGAAATGAACGGATCAAGCGACGGACAGAGGGGTAGAGGCAGAGAGAGGGGAGAGAATAAGATGGGAGGGAGGAACCCTCGATGGAGATCACCTTGCCAAGGGACGTGAAGAACGAGAGGCTGCAGCCCAGAGCTCCACCGAAAGGGTCTTGCGCCACGGCTGTTACCCGCCAACCTCCACCAAGGAGGCCTGTGGGCTACCGCACCCGTGTCTCTGCACCCGCCCTCGAGATGCCATGCCGCCTTTCGCACTGCCCCTGCATGCTCGCACTCGCGAGACGAGCAGGTCGCGAAACGCACCTGACTGGCTTGTCCGTCTCGTCCCTCCCCCCTCTTTCCTCGTCCGTCCTCCCTCCCAGTCCTCTCCCCTGCCCCCCCCCCTGTTCCTGTCTCTCAGATTCCCTCTCCCCCTTCTTTTCACCTCCTCCCCCCCCCACGTGCCCCCACATCCCGCCTTCTGTCTCCTCTTCCGTCTCCACCTCTCTCCCCTCAAGTTCACTCTCCCATCACGCACTCCCATTCCAGGCCCTCCCCTCGACGTCCTCTCCACCCTCCCCTCGCACCCATTCGCCACGCCCCCCCCCCCCTGCCCTCGTCACCTCACGTCCTCCATCCCCTCCCTCACTTCCCCTCGCCCCATCCCCTCTCCGAGATGCGGTGAAGACAGGAGGGGGAGACAGGAGAGGGAACGGAGGGAGGAAGCTGAGTAGGGAGCAGGGGTGCCCCGAAATCCGAGGCGGTGAACCAACAACGCAGCGTCCGAGCAGGAACCAAAAAAGAGCACCAGCGGACCGATCGACACATCTCTGTGCGTTTCTCTCCGAGCCCGAGGCCGAAAAAGAACAGAGACGCTCGCCACTAAGTGTTCGCGAAGTACGCCCAGGTGTGCGAGCCGGGGTCGTCGGTAGGCGTCCATTGCGGGGAGGGACGGCGTGGAGGAGCGGGGCTAGCAAATGCTGACCCGGTGGCGTGTGAGCGGACGAGGGGGGGGGGGGCAGTACACGCAGTGAACGATCAAGAAAGGACCACGAGACCTGGGAGGGAGCGTGGCCTCGGTCACGCAGTCGCCCCCCCACCAATCCCCCACCCAATGGAGAAAAACAACAACGGCAGGAACACCGACGGTTGGAGGTCCGCGCGAGGTTCGGACGTGCACGCTGAGTTGCCCCCCCCCCCCCAACCACCCCCCCCCCCCCCCCCCCACCTGCCTGGCGCGCGGAGCGCGCCAGGGGCGGCGCCAGAGGCGCCGCCAAGGAGTTGCCAGCGAAGATCCAGGACATCAGCGAGGGCCTCTGAGAGTTGTGCTTATGCAGGCTGCCTGTCCTTCGATCGCTTCACCGCCGTCCTGGACGCCCCCTGCGGCAAGACTGGAGGCCTTCTCGTCCTCCCCCGACTCATCCCCCCCTCGTCCTCCCCTGCCCCCTCCTGAGCGGCCCAGGGAGGACGCACCAAGAAATAAACACAAACCCCAGGGTCCGCCACCTTCCACTATGGCATGGGCGTTCGCCTTCCCCCTTTCCACTTCTCATACCTAGCTGCCCTGTGCTCGTGGGGATCGGCGATGGTGTGTGCCTGTGTGTCTGTTTGCCTCCCTCCTGGTCCACGACGGGCCTCGGCGACAGCCTCCTCGTCTGAGCTCGTCGGCCTCGAGAGGGCACTCGCCCTGGGTGACGCCGCCCCCGCCACCGAAGACCTCGCCGCTCGGAAGGGGGGTGGGGAGGGGGGCGGGCGACCCTGGCTGGCACCAGAGAGGGCAGCAGGCTCCTCCTCCTCCTCCTGCTCCTCCTCCACTACTCGTCCTCTCCTCCTCCATCTCCTCCATCCTCCTCCTCCCTCTCCATCTCCTCTCCTCCCTCCCTCCTCCTCATACTGCCTCCCTCTTCTCCTCATCCAACTCTTCCTCTGCTCACTCTCGTGCTCCTGCTCCTGCCTCCTGATGATCCTTTCTCCTCTCCTCCCCTCTTCCTCCCTCTTCCTCTCCCCTCCTCCTCCAGCATCTTCCTCCTCCCCCTCCTCCTCTCCTATCCCTACCCCGCCTCCTACCTCCTCCGCTCTCCCTTCTCCTCCTCATCCTCCTCTCACCACCACCACCCCCCCCACCACCACCACAACCCACCACCACCATACACACCCTCAAATCATCATTCATCATAATCATCAATCATCATCATCATCCGCATCAGCATCATCGATCATCCATTCATCATAGTAATAACAATCATTCAAGCAGCAGCAGCAGCTGCATCATCTAGCATCATCATCATCCAGCATCATCAGCAGCAAGCAGCATCATCATCAGCAGCAGCCTCATCGTATCAGGCATCATCCCATCATCAGTCATGAGCATACAGCATACATCATTCACACCACCACCATCATCCATACATCATCACAATCAATCATCATCATCAAGCACCATCATCATCATCATCATCATCATCATCAGCACATCACATCAAATCAGCATCAGCATCATCATCATTCGTCCTCATCATCGTCATCGTCAGTAATCGTCATCATCAGTGAGCAGCATCATCATCATCAGCATCATCATCGTCGTCGTCGCAATCATCATCATCATCATCATCATCATCATCAGACAGGCAGCAGCAGCATCAGCATCAGCATCAGCATCAGCATCATCATCATCATCAGCAGCATCAGCATCATCATCATCATCATCATCATCAGCAGCATCAGCATCAGCATCAGCATCATCATCATCATCATCATCATCATCATCAGCATCAGCATCAGCATCAGCATCAGCATCATCATCATCATCATCATCATCATCATCATCATCATCATCATCGTCATCTGTTCAGATGTTCCCGTTCGTCACGAGGGATCCGCTCTGGAAGACGAGGCCCCGCCAGGAGAATAGGGAGAACGATGACGATGAGGAAAAGGAGGGGAGGAGGAGGAGGAGGAGGAGGAGGAGGAGGAGGAGGAGGACGAATGGAGCGGGACACGGGGAGTGGTGGGTTGGGGATAGGAAGAGGGAAGCAAGAGGAGGAGAAGGAGGAGGAGGAGGACGACGACGACGACGACGACGACGAGGAAAAGGAGGAGGAGGAAGAAACAGAGGGAGGAGGCGGCCGCCGGCGCCTGGGTGCAGCCGTCCTGCGAGTGCAGCAGGAGCCTCTTCACCTGCTCTTGGGGGGGGACTGTCCCCCTCGGCGGCGCGCGGAAGGGGGACGGAAGTGCAGAACGTTCTCTGGCGCTTTCAAACTGAGCATCGTTACACCGATCCCTATCCTAACTGGCGCGGCCTTCATCCCACTGGCCGACTTGACCCCCTAGATGGGGGTACAGACTGTCCCCTCTCAGCCTCCGATGGGCCGATTCCCAACTCGAGGGGCGGTATGGTGGGGCTGAGATGCCATGGCGTGGTGGGGATGGTGATCGGTGACAAATCCGCCGACCCTGTCGGCGTGTGGAAGAGGCTTCTCCGTCTGTTCCCTCTTCGTCGTCGTCGTCGTTCCTTCCCCTTTCCCCACAGCGTCGTTGCTTCTACCCCTCTCCCAGGGCCTCCTCCTGAAGCGTGCCAGTCCAAAGCGAAATTGAGCAACGTCGTACTTGAGTCGAAGGGAAGCCCCTTCCCTTTGATCCCTTCCCCGCCCGGGGGGGGGGGGTCCCGGGGGGGGGTCCCGGGCTTTTACCCCGCCCCCCTGGGGAATCCCGGAGCCCAAAAAAGCCCCAACACGGGCCAAGAGTGCCCCAAGAGGCCCCCAAGACGATCCAAGAGGGTCCCGAATCGCCGAATGACCTGTCCAAGACGCCTTGACGGCCCAAGAGGCCTGCGAGACGCCCCAAGAGGCCTCCAGGACCGTTCCCACGAGAGCCCCAAGAGGCAAAAATCATGGATTTCCCATACGTTTTTCAAGAATTTTGGCGTTCTCGCCTCTTCCGCTTCCCCACGCGCCAAGATGGCCCAAAAGGCCCCCAAGGTCGCCCCGAGACGGCCCAAGAGGCCTCCAGGAGAGTCCCCAAACGGTCCAAGAGTGCTCCAAGACGGCCCAAGACGCCTCCAAGACGGCACAAGAGGCCCCCAAGACGGTTCCAAGAGAGTGCCCAGACGGGGGACCCGAACGGACATTTCGAGCCCTCAGCCCCGAGAAGCCCCCAAGAGGCCCCCAGGAAGCCCAAAGAGGCCCCAAGAGGCTCCCAAGAGGCCCCCAAACATCCTCCCAGAGGCCCCCGAGAGCGCTCGGAAGAAACCCCAAGAAGCACGTTTGAGGACTCAACCCACGTCAGCATCGTCGTCGTCGCTACCGCCGCCGCCGCCGTCGTCGTTCCCCTTCAGGGTCGGCGGCACCGGCCGTAAGGCCTTCGCAATAAAACATATTTAGATAAGAATCAAAATGCGATGCCCAAATATACAAAAAACAGTCCCCCGACTATTTTTTGACTACCTTTGAATACATTCCCCCTGCAGAAGGACAGGCCCGACTGAAGCCCAGGGCAGGCCTGCTCACCCTGATGGTGATCGGTGGAGCCGTACCGGCGCTTTCCAATGCTATCGCCGCATGCTCCCCGGCCTCGAGAGGCTCTCCCGCAACTTGCGCCTCGCCGACGGCGCTCCATGGAGTCCGCAATCGTCCCGCACGGCCGCCGGAGAGAGCCGAGCCACATGCCCCAGAAGCCGCCGGGCTGCCGAGAGGGGGCACGCCTGGCCCTGACCTTCCAGAGAGCTGCTTTTTAGCACGGGAGGCCCACAAACCTAAAAAAAGCTGAGCGAAACAGCCCAAGACCAAGACGTAGAACAGCTCTCTGGGATAGGTTTTTAGGTCGCGTGCTATTTTTGTTTACCCTCCTGGAAGGTCAAGGGGGGGGGCGTGCCTCCTCCAAGGCCGGGTTCTGCCGGCTCGAGCTCTCCGCGGGATCTCTGGCGTTGGCCCCTGGGCTGCCACCGGCAGCCCGCAGGTCCACGCCGGAGCTCCCGTTCGACAGGAGACTCCGGCCCTTCCACCCTCCACCCCCGGCCCCAGGTCGGGGGGAGCGCAGCCCTGAGCTTCCAGGAGGGCTAAAAAATAGCACCCGACTTAAAAACCAATCCCAAAGCTCTTCTACGTCTTGGTTTTAGGCTGTTTCGCTCAGCTTTTTAGGTTTTTAGGTCTCCCGTGCTAAAAAATAGCTCTCTGGAAGGTCAGGGAAGGGGGGGATAGCACAGGGTAGGGTAGAGAATCACCTCACGCAGCTGATGTTCCCAGCGCCTCCCGGCGCCAGGCGCCCATGCATCGAGGAATGGGCCTGGCGGCGGGGCCGAAACCAGCTGCACGCAGCAGATTTTGCAACCCCCCTTTCCCTATCCCCCCCCACTTCGTTCGGCCCGAACCTGCCCAGGGCCTAGGGTTAGGTCGGGCCTGTCCCCCTTCAGGGTGATTTTGGACGACAAATAAAACATATCTAAATAATAATCAAAAACGATGCCCAAACATACAAAAGAAAAAAAAGTCCCCCAACTATTTTTTGGACTACCTTTGAATAGATTCCCCCTGTGGAAGGACAGGCCCGACTGAAGCCTAGGGCAGGCCTGCTCACCCTGACCCTCCAGAGAGCTATCTTTTTAGCACGGGAGGCCTTAAGAACCCAAAAAACGAAACGAGACAGCCTGAAACCAGGACACAGAATAGCTCTCTGGGAGAGGTTCTTCAGTCGCGTGCTATTTTGTTAGCCCTCCTGCAAGGTCAGGGGCAGAGGGCGGCGGGGCCTCTCGTTTTTCGTAGGCCCCTGCCCGAGTTTGGGGGACTGGTACTCTTACTATTCGTGGTAATAACCTCTGAGGGGCGGCGATGAGCGCAGGGGAGCTGCCCGCCGAAGGCCGGACAGCCTTCCGGACCTGCTGGACGGCGGCAACGAGGCCCCTCTAGCCGTACCACCCGTAGGGGCTTCGCCGCAGCCGGCCTCGCTAAGCCCCCCCCACACCCCCCTCCCCCCCCCCTTACCTCTCCTACCTACCTCTCCTCCTCCTCCTCCCTCACCGACAGATAGCCTGCCTAACATCCATCCCTCCGTCCTCGGACCACTCCTCGCACGTATAACCCTCCCATAAAAAGACCTCCCCCTCCTACCGACTCCTCCTCCATCCTCCTGCCTATCCCTCCTTCTCCATAGCTTCGAGCCCTCATCATAACTGGCCTATAACTGCTCCTCCTCCTCGCTCCTCGCTCCTCGTCCTCCTCCTCCTCGTCGTCCTCCTCCTCGTCGTTCTCCGCCCCCTGGCTATGACTTTCGGTAGGGACACGAACAATGCCATAAACATAAAAACTCGGGGCTCCGCGCGGATTTCTCGGATCGGCGCTGGGGCCCGCCGGCGGCGCCTCCGGCGCCGCCCCTGGCGCGCTCCGCGCGCCAAGGAGGGGGATCCAGCGCCGATCCGAGAAATCCGCGCAGACCTCCGAGTTTTTATGTTTATGCCACTTTTTGTTCCCCTATCGACCCCCCCCCCGCCCAGCTATGACTTTCGGGGGCGTCCAGGAGGGCTATAAAATAGCACCCGACCTGAAACCTGTCCCAAAGCTATTCTACGTCTTGGTTTTAGGGCGTGTCGTTCAATTTTTGTAGGTTGTTAGACCTCCAGTGCTAGAAAAGTGCTCTCTGGAAGGTGGGTCGGGATCGGCCAGGAGGGGGTCGGCGTCCAGGAGGGGGGCGGCGTCCGGGAGGGAGGTTCGCCAAGCGAGCCCCGAGGCGCGCGCCCGGCCCAGGGGGCGCACGGGAAGGAAAAGCAGGGCCACGAAATCTGAAAATGTATCGCGCCCCCCGCCGTGATATCCACCCCCCCCTTGCCGTCATCCCCCTCTCGGCGGATCCCGGTCCTGTTACCGCGTCCTCTCCTCCCCTTCCTCGCGACCCGGCTTGCAGTGGGCCGTCGGCGCGCGGGCGCGCCGCGGGCAAATGCGGCTCGCCCTCGCCTGCACGAGGAAGTTAGCGCGCTGCCGCGACCACCTGGGGCGGCCACAGGGCCGCTGTTGGCGGGCGGCGCCGCGGGAGCGGACGCCGTGCCGGCCGTCGGGCCGGGCGTCGGGCTGGCCGTCGGACTGGGCGTCGCAGGCGCGGTCGGGCTCGACGTCGGGCTGGGCGCGGCCTGGACAAGACCCCCCGACGCGCCCAGCGGGCAGTTCGTTCTAGCTGACGCGGAGTACGTCGCCCAATATAGGCCAGACCCATCTGCGCAATAGTACCTGCAGCCAGGGACAGCAAGGTCGCCGACGTTGCCGACCATCTCGGGCCGGCCGTGCGACTTGAACTCGCAGGGAACGATGCACTGCGGGCTGCTATACGTCTGCCCTTCCCCCAGCCTTCTTTGAAGCGTGGGTAGCCATTGTCTTTGGCGTACTTGGCACACTCCTCGGTAGTTCTGATTGTCACAGAAGGCACAGTTCTTGGTTCCAAGAACCCTCCGTACACCCACGTTGCACATGGAGGATCATAGTAGCTCGCCTTCGTGAATGGGGTCGCCGATGAGGCCGCCTCAGAAATGCCCGACCAGCTCACAAACGCCTGCATGAGCTGCATGTCAGCGCCCACAATGGAAGCGAGCGCAGATGCTGTCGCCAAGATCAGTTTGTCCACCATCTTTATGCCGAAGATACCTTTGCAGCGTATCGCTGTATGTTCAGTTCGATGCGGGAACGCACATGGAGCGCCCCGCGAGCCCCGAGCAAAACATAAGAGGCGGAAGGACCGACCTGGCTCTTGACCTCCCCCCCGCTTCCAAATGGGAGCCAGGCACTACCAACTGGCTCGCGGGGGGCGTGATCGTGACCTCGTGCGCCAGTAGACGATCTGCATGCCCACCGATCTTCCCCAGACTCTAGCGCGCCCCCCGCCGCTTCGCACTGCCGAACACCGAACTCCTAAACTTTGCCCTGCACGACGCCAAATATCGAACCAGACGACTCACTCCCCCGGGCCCCAAGCCTGCCTAAAGTCGACACAGGATGAAAAGTCGGTCCCCTGGAAGGGGTCCAGAACTCTGGGCGTCTAGGAGTGCTTTTGGGCGGAGCATACTTGGATGTTCGTTGGCATGCCGGGGGGGGGACTCTGGGGACTTCTTGGATAGAAGTTTGAAAACTCTTGAGGGCCTTCTTGGAGCCCTTTGCGGCGCGTTGGGTTTTTGTTGGAAGGCTTCTTGGGGGATCCTTGGG